GCTCCTCTGTGCAGTTGTGGCCCTCATAGAAGCAATTTGAGCTCTCTCCACACTTGAGAGTCCTTTAGGCAGAATGTTGGGGGAAACTTTTGTAATGTGATTTAAGATTTATTATTATATTGTTATTTATGTTACTGACAATCAAACCCAGGGCTTCACACATTTGCTAAATATGTCTTCTGCCACTGAACTGTATCTCTAGTCTCTGTGCTTGTTTTGTGTGTGTGTGTGTGTGTGTGTGTACACATTTGCCACAGTGTAAGTGTGGCGCTCATAGAACAACTTTGAGTTAGTTCTCTTCTTTCACCTTACATGGGTTTAAGGATTGAACCCAGGTTCTAGATTGCAAAGCAAGCACCTTTCTTTGAGCCATCTCACAAGCTCTGCTTTTTTTTTTTTTTAAAGATTTTATTTATTTATTTTATGTATGAGTACACTGCAGCTGTCTTCAGACACACCAGAAGAGGGCATCGGATCCCATTACAGATGGTTGTGAGCCACCATGTGGTTACTGGGAATTGAACTCAGGACCTCTGGAAGAACAATCAGTGCTCTTAACCACTGAGCTATCTCTCCAGCCCACAAGCTCTGCTTTTAAAAAACAATTTATTATTATTTTCTGTATAAGGGTGCATTGCCTACATATATGTACGTATGTGTTCCAGATGTGTGCCTGGTACTCTTGGCGATCTCATGGAACTGGAATTGCAGACTTTTGTAAGCCACCATGTTGGTGTTGGGAGCTACACTGCCTGAGCCTTCTCTATGCCCTCTGCTTATTTATTTTTAGCTGCAGTTGTGAGACAGACATTTTGAAATCTGAACATCTGTCTGACTTGTCACAATCCTCAGTGTGTTTTTTCAGTTTGTATTAAGAACACTACTGTATTTGTCAGCCATTTTATTAGGTGAGTTGCACTCAGTCATGTCTTTCAGCAGTGGTCTTGTTGGACTGTGAGAGCTTGAAGTACTGCAGCTGAATATGGTTTGATCGTTCTTTCTAGAGTGGATTAAAATTTAAATTTAGTGATTAGATTAAAATTTGGGGAATTGGTAACATAACCATGAAAGATAAAGCTGAGAAGAGGGTCAAGCTGCCAAGGAGGTAGAGAGGGGAAGCCAGGAGGTGACAGTACTGTGGTGACAGGCTGTCATGGGTAGGAAGACAGGTGCTCTAGAGTGTAGGCACCTGGTTCATAGAATCTGAGTGCAGGGTAGAATCTTAGTGACCAGCAGCCGCCACAGAAGAGGTCTTCAAACTTAGAGAGCAGAAGTATTGTGAGAGCCAGTCAGCCTGGATCCCTGGCGGTCAGAGTGGAGCTGTAGGAGTCACACTCATTCAAGCTGAGTAGAAAGACAGAGAGCCAGGGGATGGAGGCCTGGGAAAGAGAGGAGGTGCCACATTTCCTCCTGCAGCTTTGACTAAAACTCATTCATTTTTCTTTGAACCCAGGTCGAAAAGGTGTCTTCACTGGAAGCTCGGGGCTGCAGATTGTATACCTCAGTGGGACAGAGTCCTTAGATGAACCAGTCCCAGCTTACAGTTTTAGTCCCAAGGATGTGTCTTCCCTGAGCACAATGCTGTGTTCGGCGTCCCAGTTTAAGGGTGTTGATATCTTACTCACGTCCCCATGGCCCAAGTATGTGGGGAGCTTTGGGAACTCCTCTGTGAGTAGTGCTTGTTCAGTTGCGATTTTTAAACAAATTACACTGGCTTAAGTTGGTTTTTTAAAGTTTTTCTCTTTATTTTGAATATGTTAACTCTTTAGTGCCTTTTACTAGAAACATTTTGTGAAAAAATGTCAAGATTATATAAGCTATATCTACTGACAAAAACAGTTGATCTCATAAAATATAATTTTCAGATAAGATTGCAGAATCTTAACTATAAACAAATGGTTCCTGGAATTATGTTCTCTACAAGTATCCTCCTTAGCCTTCTTCATATTTTATACGTTTATTGATTCCCAGTGGGAAGATCTACAGCCATTGGCATCCCTCCGGTTGCATTTATTTCCCCTTCTGTTCCAGAATATTGGGTTTGGCTATCAAAATATTTTAAAATTGGGTCATTGTGAGATTGAGTCTAATAGTGTGAATATTTACAGATGGAGGACAAGGCGCTAAGACTGAGTTTCTGTCATGGACACTAATCTGGGATGCCCTGGAAGCCTGCCCTGTATTTTATAAATAGTCCTGAGAAGGGGCCGTTACCACTGAACTGTGACATAGATAGACACGGCCTAAGAAGCCCGTGGAACGGTTGTGTAAGGGTGGAGAGCACCGGCTGAGCCTCAGTGGAGGGACATGTAAGACTGGATTTGAGAGTAAACCCTCAAAACTAGACCTGAATTCAGTTATGTCCCAGAGTGTCCTGTGTGTAGATGAGTCCCTGCTGACTCAGCACTAAGTGTCTGTGACCATAAAAGTCAGCAAGATGCCAGTGTCATCAGCGAGAGTGTTGAACAGAAAAGAGCCTCATTTGCCGACCAACTTGTGGTTCCTCCACCTCTAGAAAGGAAGCCCCTCATTCTGGGAGAGCAGAAGTCAGCACGGGGCAGTAGAGGTGGAGACTTTGGTCAAAGTTTGTAAACAATCATATAAGATTTTTATGGGGAAGAAAATAATATACTTAGCTATCTTTGTGATACTACAACTAAGTTCAAGGTCAGTCACCTTTCTTTAGCAAAAGCTTGAAGGTACACATTAGACAAAAGCTTGGAGTGTTCTGTGAACAAGTCTACCATGACAAAATATTTTGTTTGCAAGCTTTTGTTTGTTTTGTTTTGTCTTGTTTTGTTTTGTTTTGTTTTGTTTGAGACAGGGTCTCTATGTAGCCCTGGCTGTCCTGGAACTTGCCATATAGGCCTGCCTCGAATTTATAGAGATCTGCCTGCCTAGGCCTTCGAGTGCTGGGTTAAAGCACCTGTAAGCTCTTTAACATAGGTGTGGCTGTGCCATTTCCTTGACTGAGCAAAAGAACAGCTTGTGTGGTTATGAAGCCCTTGAATGTTTCCTGGAGCCTGAGTGCTCTGAGTGCTAGTGTTGAAGTTTACATTCTCCACTGACCTTGACTTACTACTGTCAGACACATGTGCACTAGAAAGAGTACTAGGCAGAGGTAGTTTATAGGCTGCAGGGAGAGACCGCTTTTCAAAAAGGGAGTCTTAATGTTTGTTTTAGAGGTTCCTATGGAAGGATTGCCTTGCTTTGTACACTCTGGTTTACAACAATTGTACCATTTCTGTAATTATAATATTCCAATGTTCTTATGTTTGATTGCCCTGGGTATACAGTTCACTGCAAATTTGCATCTGTGTTTAAATTTGAAAGATATTTCAAAATCTTTTCTGAGTCTGTGTGGATAACCAAGTTCCCATTTACTAGGGAGAAGTAGATACCAAAAAATGTGGCTCTGCTTTGATCTCCAGCCTTGCTATAAGCTTGAAACCGAGGTATCATTTTGCTGCTTTGGAAAAGTCATATTATGAGAGACTTCCGTACCGGTGAGTAACGTCTCATGAGGTGACTCTATAAACTCACATCTTCTTGTTCGCTTTTAGCCAGGTATATTGGCTCCTTCAAGTCCTAAGGCACTGTGATAGTTTCATTTTTGTTGCTGTGGTAAATATCAACCTATGGAAGACAGGGTTTGTTTATAAGTCCAGAAGAACCTGTCCTGGAGGGAAGGCGTAGCAGCAGGAGCAGGAGGTTTATCTGTGATAACACAGGAAGTGAGCCAAGGCTATAAACCTTTGAAGCCATCCCCAGGACATATTTCCTCCAGCTAGGTTCCACCTCCCGAGGAGTTCCCAAAACTGCCCTAAATAGTACCACCAACTAGAGACCAAGTGTTCAAAAACCACGTGACCTTCTGGCGGACATTTCCCATTCAGGTGCCAGTACTCCTAAGTTTCCTAACTCGAAATAAAGGTGATAAACTATAAGACTCTGTAAAAGTTTATTGTTCACTGTTACAGTGTTGGGTGATCATTGATTATAAGACTCTGTAAAAGTTTAGTGTTACTGTTACAGTGTTGGGTGGTCATTATAGAGTATTAGGTACTGGGTTTTTGTTTGTTTCTTTTTTGAGACAGTACCTTTCTATGTAGCCCTGCTTGTTTTAGAACTTACTTTGTAGACCAGGCTCAGAGATTCACCTGGCTCTGTCTCCAGAGTTCTGGGATAAAGGCGTGTACTACTGTACCTGGTTAGGTCCTGCTTTCATCAGGTCAAACCAGTATTTATTCTTTATTTAGTCTGGAATACTCAACTGTCAGCACAGTCACTTTGGAATTTGAAATTTTAATTTATGAATCAGGAACTTGTATTGAGCTGTATGAGGTGTTTCTTGCCTTTAATCCCTTACACTTGGAGGCTGAAGTAGGAGGAGTTCAATGAGTTCAGGTCCAGCCTGGGCTATAGACTGAGGCATTGTGTTTATCTCTGCTCACCAAGAATTTGTATTGATACTCACCCTCCAGCATCTTAAAATTTTCTCTTACTCATATTTGTCCTCCTTTAGTTATAAATGTTGATTAGTGTAGAGTACTTTTAAACATAGAAAAACTAAAAAAAAAAAAAAAAAAAGAAAGCAAACCAAACAGTTTTACCATTTATGTATGGCATGTCAACCGTTTTTTAAAAATCAAAGTATACTATGTATTAGTGCTTGATACATACCTGCTCAACTTAGAACATATTTCTTTTAGTCTCACTGTTTTCATGTTTTCTTACATAAGAGAGAGTAGTAAAATGAGCCCTCATACCTCTGTCGTCTGTGAGCCCTCACACCTCCATCATCATCTGTGAGCCCTCACAC